AAACTCCATTGATTTCTTGATTCTTTTCTTGTCCCCACTCTTTAATTTTTCTTCCTAGAGGCCATTCAGCACTTAATATGGCTCATATTATTAAATAAATATGTTAATTTATCTCAAGATTCATGCATTTTTTTTTATTGCTTTGTGAGGAGTGTTTTTCCAGTATTTCATTTGTGTATTTTGTTTGCGCATTAAACTTGCAGGTTCCTTTATGGCAGAGGTTTGTTCTTGTAGCAGCGGCGGGTTTAATGCACTTTAACTCAGCACACACTCAGTAAGTTGGAATTGGCTGGCTGACAGGTTTTTAAGATGAATTGTGAAGCATTTAGCAGTATTTAAAATACTTTGCAACCCTCCCCATTCTTTCATATATATTGATTATTTCTTAAAGAACATACCACTGCAGTAGTAAATAGTTTTTTACCCTAATGACCTGTATCAGCATTCTACCTACTAGGTTCCCAAATTTAAACCCATAGTCATTCTCCTTTTCTTTTATCCTTTTGAGTATTTTTTACAGGGTCTCCTCTGGCCCTTTACTGTCTTCCAGACTGAAGTTGGCATGTATATAACTTCTGTAAGAAGGTACACTGGCTGGACGCCTTTTGTGTCCTGCCTCGCAAGCTTGCAGTTCATCTTTCCAGCTGCTGACCATCTGCTCAGGTGTAACCTGGGGAACCAGGGAACTATGCATCTTCCACTCTCTGCCCTGAGGTTTTGCTGCTGCCACCTGAACAAGCACAAACTTGAACTTGTAGGCAGAGTGAACCTCTGCAAGGCAACCCTTAGCTGAGGGGTCCAGTTCTGAAGTACGGTCCACATGACTCCTCTGAGGGTCCCTAGCGGAAGCAAGCCCATTGCTGAATGAATTAAAAAAGACAAGGAGAGAGGCAATCAAACAATTATTAAGAGGAGCACATTACATAGAGCTTCATATACAGTTTTGTATGTGAAGTACATAATTTGCTCTTTTGGCATATAAATGATTTGGGTTTAAGCTGTTTGCTTTCCTAAAATAATGGCATCGATGATAATTAAAGAGGAAATGTAGTATAGTACCATTTGCCAGTGGAAAATGACTCTTAGGCTCTATCTGGAATCATGAAAGCAAGTTCAGATTGCAGGCAAATAATTATGAACTGTCAGAAGATTTTCACCAAAGGCTATCTCAAAGTACCTGAATCTTGGATATAGTCAAGATACTAAACTTCTTTGGTGCAAAGCACTGAAACATACTGGGCAAACTCAAGGTTGTATAAAATATAGTTCTTATGTCAGCCAAACTGGGGAACTAAAATACTTTCCCCTATACAAATACCTGTATAAAAACTTGAAAGACTTTTGGCTGCTATTAGGTGTGTTCCCTAAGAGAATTTGTAGCATTTGAGCCAAACTTTGAAGGATGTGAAGGACTGGCCAAAACCAGTAAGTTGTCTACTTTCACTCAAAGTTATGCTGAACAAACAGAATGGTAACAGCATAAATTGCTTGGAAAAGTATAAAGTACCACACAAATGCAAGATACTGATAATGATAACAATATTATTGTTTCTGAAATGGTTGATTATAAGAACCTGCAATTTAGGATTTAAACTTCCAGTAGTACTTCTCATTGATTAAAGGATAGATAATTAAATTTTAATTTCATTTTTCACTTTTTTAAAATTCCAGTGAAAATTTAAATTTAATTTTTCTTTGCATTATCTAGTACTTGTGGAATAATTATAATCTCAGTTAATAAGATGACAGCCTGGTTTTGTATTAAGGTATATTGACATATTAGTTTCAGGTATACAACATAATGATTTGGTATTTGTATGTATTATGAAATGATTACCACAATAAGCCTAATTAACATCTGCCACCACACATAGTTACCATTTCTTTTCTTGTGGTAAGAATCTTTGAGACCTATTCTCTTAGCAACTTTCAAATATACAATACAGTATTATCAACTGTAGCCACCATGCAAAGCATGATATCCCCAAGACTTATTTATTTACAACTGGAATTTTGTACCTTTTGACCACCTTTATCTGTTTTGTCCACCCTCACCCCACCAATCTGTTCTCAGCATCTCTGAGTTCAGGTTTATTTTGTTTTGTTTTAGATTGCATATATAAGTAAGATCATATGGTATTTGTATGACAGCCTTTTTTTTTAACGAAGGTTCATACTTTAACATAAGGTTTTAACTGCCATTTGAATACATTTAGAGTATCACCTCAATATAAAGGTGATTTCTTGAAATATCTTGACAGAATCTAGTATTTTGCTAGAGTTGCTTTCTTTCTGTTCCTCTTGAGAATCTTTCCCAACAAAAAGAACTCTATACATGATATTATACTGTTTTAGAAATGAAATGCCGGGGCACTTGGGTGGCTCAGTTGGTTAAGCATCCGACTCTTGGTTTCAAGTCATGATCTCAGGGTTGTGAGATGGAGCCCGTGTCTAGCTCCACACTTAGTGCAAAGCCTGCTTGTCCCTCTCCCTCTGCTCTTCCCCCTGCTCTCTCTCTCTCCCTAACATAAGTAAATAAAATCTTTTTAAAAAATGAAATGCTAAAATATAACTCCAACATAGTAAAAAAAATATATACTCTGTTCAAAGACCTATATCATGATTTTAATTTAAAAAGTAAATCGGTAGACACAATTGGAAGGAAATGTGTATGCTTTAAATAATAGAGAGTATACCAATATTTGTAAAATGTACATTTTAAATTACTTCTGGTACCTCATAGATTATCTCCAAGGAAAAAAATTACAGATAGATGTTAAACTGAATAGCAAGGTAGTATGAGTCTAAAAATAGTTATTCAGCAGTGTGTCTCTTCGTTTTCCAGTATCAGGAGAAAATTGTTATTAAATTCTAAAATTAAATATGCTGTGCTAATGTGCTGAGTCCATTTACATTTTATGGAATAATTTTATTTGTTCTGCACTAACTGGCTGGCAGAGAAATTGAACAATGTTTGGTGATATTTTAAAATTGTAATTCCATCTGACTTATGGAATCTAAATGTATATCTGGAAATAAAAAGTGTTGTGTGCTGTATTTGGCAACTCTGAGAACTGATCTATAACTTTTCCTCACCATTTCTCAGTAGACTTTTCCTGGGAAGTCAGTTGTCATTGTTTTGGCGAGCTTCTCTTTATCTTAAATTGTGCTAACATTTAAAAGGAAAACTATGAAGGTTACAAAAAAAATTTTAAAGATAATTCTTAAAAATTACAATAGTAAGAGCACTGAAACAATACAGAAATGTGGAGAGTAAAAATGAGTATGTTGTTCAATTGGAATATAGCCCTCAATGTCTTCTCCCACACGTATGATATTACAGAATACAACATACACACATATGTATGCTTTCCATAAAAAGGATGAACTGTCACTGGTATTCTGTGACTTTGTTTTTTAACCTTAACAGTAATACCATGACGTTCTTCCTTGTTGGTACATATAGATCTATCTCATTTTTTTCCAAAGGTTATAGAGCATACTGTTTGATAAATGAAAAAAAAAAAAAACCTACAACAAACCCCTGTTGATGAGCCTGTACCGTATATATGTCTGTGCATGTGTTTAACTCAAACTTGTCTTAAATTATGCAATTAATAGCTGTACAGGAATTTTTAAAAATACATTAAACTATGTGGATGGGTCTTCTAGGCACATCTCAGAGACAGTCCTTTTTCACAGTTTCTTTTATTTACATTTTCAAGTAGTTGTGAGTATAATTTTAAACAATATACATATGCCTTTATTTTATCAACTTTAAACCCTATGCGTATGATGCAGTACTGGTCTGCAAGGAGATGCCAAACTCTTGGCGTTCCTAGGAGAGATGTTTTAAGAATTTCAGAATTCCCCTGATTCACACATGCCTCTCTGTCACTTAATTTCTCTCTTACAGTTCTGTTTAACTTTCAACTGTGATTCTCAACTGGGAGGGAGAAGAGTATGTTTTCTCCCAGCCCAGCAGCAGAGCCTATCAGAATCTTTGGGGAGGTCTTTTTCAAAGTACACATGCCTTCTTCCTACCTCAAATGGAAGCATGCTTACCTGGTTGAAAAATCACTGCATGTAATTTCAGAGGTTATTAATTAGGAGTGCTTTGGGCGGATTGTGTAGCAGAGAAAAAACAAGTTAAGAATTATATATATATGTAAGATACATATATATAAAAGGCCAAGACATTGGTGAACAGTTCTTTTTTCAGGTTAAGGGGCATCATTGTTTTAGATCTCTTCATTCTCTGTTTATCTCATTATTCCATTATCAGCCCCAACAGAGGACTCTCCTTTCTATTCACTTCACAAGAGTTCCCATGGAAGCGTTAATGAGCACAGAACATCAAAGCAAAGATGTGGATGCCATAACTTAGGTAGGCTCACTGCTGGGATGAGTGACTAGCTTCTGCATTCTAGACAAGGGCAAGTCAGATTTATATCCAGTAAAATTACCATCATGGGGCCTTCAGAGTTCAGTGGAATAGTTGAAACGCTGAATATTAACTCTTTCTATGCCAAACCAAATCCCCCATCATCTTACATACCTTTAAACCTGGTAGAAAATTTCTACAGGGGGGCGCCTGTGTGGCTCAGTCGGTTAAACATTTGCCTTCAGCTCGGGTCATGGTACCAGGGTCCTGGGATCAAGCCCCGCATCAGGCTCCTGGGATCAAGCCCCGCATCAGGCTCCCTGCTCAGCGGGAAGCCTGCCTTTCCCTCTCCCACTCCCCCTGCTTGTGTTCCCTCTCTCTCCGTGTCTCTCTCTGTCAAATTAATAAAATAAATAAATAAAATAAATAAAAATCTTAAAAAAAAATTCCTACAGGTCTGTGAGTCTCTCTATTTGAAGATTCGTTGTACTTAGTAGAGTGGAATCCAATACTGATGATGACAAGGATATGCTTGTCTAAAGGGTTGGTTTCATGGGGAAGTGAAAAGCCTAAGATGAGAAATATTAATGGGGTTCTCTACCTGTTTTAACTGCAGACTGCAGCTGAATATGTAAAATCGAGACTCCCAGAGGCCCTTAAACAGCATCTTCAGGACTACGAGAAGGACAAAGAAAATAGTGTTCTGTCTTACCAGACCATCCTTGAACAGCAGATTCTGTCAATTGACCGAGAAATGCTAGAAAAATTGACTGTATCCTATGATGAAGCAGGTATGTTTGTCTTTAACACACACACACACACACACACACACACACACACACACACACACACACA